TTATCTGTACAACATCTTCACCGCGTAACAAGTTGTTGCGTGGTTGACATATTTCATATAATAAGATTTTATATTTTTATACTCTCTTATTCTCATGTATACTTTGTCTTATAATTATATTTCTAACAACGTGTAAACTGGGTCTCAGCATGTATACTTCACTGTATAAAAAAAAAAAATTTGTTAAAATAGATATAACTTTCTTCACTTGTTAATACTGATTCAGCATGTATACTACAGTGTATTATTATGTACCTAACAAATATTATCTTTGCCCCGATAGTGTCTATGACGGGATCAGGGCATGTATTTTTATAATATGTTCAATAAAAAAAGGTAAGGAAAAGGAAAGGGTAAATTGTGTTACTTTTTCTTCTGTCTAACCTTCCCTGTCCCAATCCTCTTGGTTTTATCATACTGTGACTTTAATTTTGAAAATTTATGGACAATTGTTTGATATTATATTGCTGTCATTAAGTCAACATATTTTATTTTGAATAAGTATAAAAATTAGATGTCAAATATCTGTCCCATTAAGTTAATTAGAATAGACTATATAGGGTTTTCTAATAGAAAATCTTTAATAAAAAGGGTTTAAAGAAAATAACAGCAAATTATTTGAATTTATAATAAATTTTTAGTTACTATTAATATGTTAATGTTAACTAATTTTGGAGACAAATGTTCTGGCATTTAACAAAAAGTGCATTATAAAAATATATCAATTTATGTCGGTGGTTCTGAAATGATGTACCCAGATGCACTGTGGCATTCCGAGATTGCTAAATATGCAACAATTATAAAAATATAGAAGTTTATTAAAAATGAATGAAGTACACCAAAAAATTTCTCAAGTTTTACAGTGCACTGCAAGCCAAAACAGTTTGAAAACAACCGATTTAGGTTATTGGTAATAAATATAGTTTGTTACATTCAAATATGTTGGAAATTCAAATCAAGTATAGTACAGTTATTGCACTTAATTATGTTGTTGTGTGTAACTAAATATTAAAAGAAGAAAAAAAAATTGAATACAATGATTATAAATATTCACGATACACAAAGAATTGACCACCAATTCCCACTTTCCTTCTCGACATATGATAGGAATGCCACAGTTAAATGTCAAAAGCAACAGTAGAGATGGTGTCATTCCAAACTGGTAAAGTAAATTGACGACCAAATGTACAGTAGTTTCCAGTGCAATAGAACAAATAACAAACCAGCTGCACAAAACTTTAACGATTTGAAACTTTGTCTTAATATACAAATTATAACATTGTAACGTATGTACTAAAATAGACTAACCCAGCCCTGAGTAAAAAGATGCTTGGTTGACTGCAAAATAATTTTAAGTTAGAAAGTTCCAGTTAATTTCATGTAGAAAGTATAAATATTTAAAAATGCACTAAGTGTTTCTAATATAAATATTACTAAGCTGAAATTTGAAAAAATTGTAACCTGTAAATTCCCACTGTCGTCTGTCCATCCATCTTTCCTTAATCTCTAGAACAGAATTAAATAGATGAAATCCGAGACTAGATATGGAAACCTTAGGGGCAGGCGACCCCGATTAACTATATAAGAACTTCCAATGCAAACCAGAAGTAGCATTATTTCAATTCAAAACTTTTCTCCGGAAAGCAGATAATAGATGACCGGCACAACTCTAATGTTAAAGGAAAAGTATGATGTACAGGGGCAAGCCACTACTAATTTGAGGTGGAGAGCATATATTTTAAATTAAATAAATTGTGAAAAATAATTAAAAATTTCAGCCTGGCATTGTGATGACATCACAATAAATAATTGCTTGTTTTCAATTACAATTTATAACTGATGTACCAAAATTTTAAAAATTAGATGAATAATAACTCATCCATGCACCGTCACAACCTACTGAATTTTGAGTGATATATAGCATTTGGTTGGTAACAAAAGCAAATTGCCAATTGGATGCATCCAGTACCATACGACAATTCAAATTTGAAAAATTTTGAAGTATTGGTTATTTTGAATGAACTGAAACGAATTGTCATTGGAACAAAGAGAAAGTTACTGAAGAAAAACTGAGTATACCTACAGACTATCATTTAGAAAACAAAAATAAAGTCCTGACAGAGGCAGTAAGCACATTGTATTATCTTCTGATTATGCATTGTACAGGTTCAAAGTTGATATTACTGATGAAAATATACAAAAACAAATTTCAAATTTGCAAAAGTCTACAAGTTTCTTTTGAACAATCATAAAAGTTCATTTTTTTTAGGAAAAGAATCTGTGATGTTACTGCCTAAAGGACAATCTGCCACTGAAAATACAACAAATTAAATTTCATGTTCTGTTACTTTCATTTTAGAAATAGTAAATTAATAAAACAATTTTATTACAAAAACACTAGATCTAAATAATAACACCATGACTGGCTAACCTGAACATGGACAGATACATCTGCTAGTTAAAAGTAAACAAAACTAAAACAAAAATTTATATGTATTAAAATATGTAAATGGGTCACATTAAAAATTATTTCAGATTGCATTTGTGTCTGAATATGTTAAAGATCATCTTGAGGTTTGCTTCTAGATCTGTAATAAGTGAAACGTGCACCCTCCAAAAAATTTTATGCGGACCCCGTATTTCTATGTTACGACCCTGCAAAATATCTTTCAACATACTAATAACAAAAACTTGAATTAAACAAACTTTCTTATATCCATTTTCAATTGTCTTGAATATCAATATATTTATATTCACTTATAATTACTGACTATACAGATTAATATCTATCATCATTTTTCTTTCTTTCTCTGGACTTTCAATATTATGCTTTACAATAATTTATGACTATTAGTCCTTAGATTTATTTTAATATAAGATAAAATTCATTGTCTTTTCAAATACTCAACACACATTTTATGAATGAAAATATGTTAAAAAATCAATGTAATTTACTTAAAAGTAATTTATACATTTAAAAATTACTTAAAATAATAAATAAATTCAAATATGGAACCATATTTTTGTTTAGCTAATGGAAAAATTTTTAAATGATTCAAGTTCATTAGTTGATTTCATACTATAGAAAAATAGCAAAAACTATTCGATATGCAAAAGGAAATGGAAATAAATCAACTGAAAAATTATCACAATATTCACATAATAGCAAAAAATTAAAATAATTTTCACATTTTTAAAATATCTATGGTGTATAAATTCTGCTTGTTGCATTGGGAGGATTTTGATGCATAAATTAATTTGTTATAATATCAACACTAAACAATGTAATTTCGTACATATTAACAAGATAATAGCATATAAATATGAATGATACTTGTCATCATGAAGAAGCTTTCCAGTGGGAAGAAACTCCGTATTGTGGACCAGCTAAAGAAAAGTTTTTCTGTTGAGAAAACAGCAATAGAAGTTGGCATTGAGTGTTTAAGTGTATCCGGAATAAAAAATAGCGAGCTACCATATCATGAAAATTTAAAAAGCCGACAGGAAGAAAATGTCGTGTGCAAAAACATAAAGGCATTGCATACGTTTGATAACGAGCGGACAACATTGCAATACATCATCACAAGTAAAGAGTGAATTGAAACATGGCTTAGGAATAGAAGTGAGTACTTTAACAATCTGCAGATGCCTAAAATGTAACAATTTGAAAGCAAGTTAATCTCAAGAAACCTAAACTTACCAAATTACTAAACAGAAACATCTTAATTTTGCTAAATGCTGTAAAGACTGAACCTTAGAAGACTGGAAGAGGATTGTACGATTAGATGAATCTAAAATTAATAGAGTTGGTTCAGATGGCTGAAAGTGGGTATGGACTACATCAATAAAGTCTATAACTGAGCAAGAAGTACAAACAACATTAAAATTTGGTAGTCTTATGGTCTGGGGCTGTATTACCTATTTTGGACCCAGAATGTTATGTTCTATACCTAGTAGAACATAGCATTATTTACAGATATACTTGACAATTATTTGTTACAATCTGTTGGTTATTACCACATTTATAGGAGCTCTTGCATTTATAAGCAAGATAATGATCCAAAATATACATCCAAAAGAGCACGTCACGGCTTCAAGATCAAAATATTAACCGCCTAATCGCCCGATCCCTTCTTAAACGTTACTCGTCCGACTACGAATCTCCACCCGAAAGCATCCACCAATTACGGGAACACGTACAGGACGAGCGGAACAAAATAACATTGCACGATCATTATTAACTCTACGCCGGATGGCATTAGGAAGGTTTTAAAGGCCAAAGGAAGCTATACCGATTATCAAAGTGTACTTTTTCTACAAATACAATATAGATGTTTGTCTGCATCAAAATCCTCCCAATGCATATGTTCTTTGTATGTTACTATTACAGTAGAACCTCGAAAACTCGGCTCTCGATAACCCGGCACTCCGGATAACTCGGGCACACCCTGGCAGGGCAAAAAAATCCTTAGTTAATTAATTTTCATTATAGACAGCTTTATAAAAGTATAAATGCTCTCATAAAGTATTTTTCTGAGGTCTGTCTTATCAGGTAAATTACTGTACACAGTGTATTCATTAATTTTCATTTTCATGTAGTAAAGGCTCTATGCCTTCATAAAGGACGTACTTTTCCTTTGTTTAAGGGTATTTGGGCAGTTTATTCTCTGTTATATTCTCAAGTAAACAGTACATACAAGTACAGTACAGTATTTTCTGAGGAAACACTCGTACTTAATTTTTTTAACCCCATTCCCGATAACCCGGCATTTTCACAAACTCGGCCACCCTTCGGTCCACATTAGGCCGAGTTTTCGAGGTTCTACTGTATTAACAAAATAATTACATTGTTCAGATAATTATATTATAATTATATGAATAAACATGTGTTTTTAAACAAGACAGTGAAAATTCAATAGATAACAGGCTAGACTATTAATTAATTCATAAATTTTCACTTATAAATTAAAGATAATAATTTATAATAATAAAAACACTACATTTTTCTGAATAATTTATCTGTACAATCGGATGAGGTCCATCATTCTGTTCAATTGGCTCGACGTCTTTCCATTCGGCTCTATCCCTATATTTTATCCATTCGCAATCGTCTTGAATATCATCGCTGTTGCTATCCATGTAAATAACGACGGAACTCGCTTTGTTTCTTTCTCGTAAAGCGAATAAATTACTCCGTTTCTCGATCGACCGGGAGAAAATGGCGACTAGAAGCACATGTACTTCGGGTAACGGTAAAAGTCGAAACGGAACAAACGGACGGAAATTCGTCTAATTCTATAAAAGGAGATGCAAAATACGAAATTTTCTCCGCGGTTTAAAAACGGATTCTAAAATAGATAGGACGAATTCTTTACGGTCTAAAGACATTCTTTAAACTGTTTTTTGGGAGGAATTTAAATTATATTATTAAGATTTATAATGGATTGTGGAGTGGTTCAAAGTAATTGGAGGGCCAAAGAGAATAAAAATATAAAAGATTGTGTTCAATGGTGTTTGGGTAACCAAAGGTATTGTTGTTTTTTTTTCATTTTTAGAGTGTAATTTCTCATTAAATTACACCTGAAAATGTCATTTATCCATTAATTTCATTTAACTCGTTTAAAAATATGTTACTAAAAGTTATTTGTATTGTACAGTCGACCCCCTATAACACTGTTGATGATTCCGTTTTATACGAATTCCGTGTTGTAAGAGTCACTTAGATTTTACAAATACGTGAGCTGTTCACAGCCCGGCACGCGTATTTGTAAAATCTAAGTGACTCTTACAACACGGAATTCGTATAAAACGGAATCATCAACAGTGTTATAGGGGGTCGACTTGTATAGGCTAGTGTTTTAAATAAATGACCTAAAACTAACTATTTTTCAAATTTAATATTAAAATTTTAAATATATAATTCTCATTTTTAGTTCTGATGTGGAAGATGCAGTCCAAGTTGAAAACTGCATCATGCTAGAACCAATGGATGATGATGCTTCCGGCTTGTTTGCTTCTCCCGCTTGTCAGTTATTGTTGACTTGTCCCGAGAATTTCGAAATGAAAAACATTTCTATACTCTCCGAAGCACGAATAATTGAGGTGTTCGGTCATCACGGCGAATATTTAAAAACCTGTAGGAGCGATCTCATCGAGGAAGTGGACGATATGGCCGTTTTCAGAACCGAAATCATATTTGACAAGGCTTTAACTGTTTGTTCTCTTAAAGTAAGACTATTTTTTTCTTTATAAAGTGTTAGTGTTAATTTAGAATTTCTAATTCAATTTTTTTACTTTATATTTAGTTCACGTCATTAAAATCTAAGAAGTCCATGTGGTTATACGGAGTGAGAGTCATCCTTCATCCGATGATTGCGCCGCAGATTGGTAGTAAGATACCGCTCGAAAACGTCAACTTTCGTCTCGGTAATATGGGATCGAAATTAAGCGAGAGAGCGGAAGCGTTTAAACAGATGGTTGGGAATTATCAGTCGGCGCAGAATCTCGGAAACGTAGATTATTCGACTCTCGCTCCCATGTTTCAGATGTTAAATATGTTTAATGTGACGCCGAAATCTCCGAACGAGAGAGAATTTATTGGAGATAGTATACCGAGTTCCAGAAGTTCTGATCATGGCGATTGGAGAAAACAGAATCTTTTCAAAAAATCTGCACATACAGAGGAATTGAATGACAATCTAAATGATAACAGAGAAAAAATTTTAGATGCTAACAGCAATTTAGAAGGAAATGTTGCAGCTAATATAAATAATTTAAAGCAAGAAACCACAACAGAAGAAAATTTGGTGCAAGAGAAAAATAGACAAGATATTTTAATCAGGTAATAATTGAATGTTTAATACTTCCTTTAAAAATTGCAATTACCAATATTGTTGTAATGATTATTGAATGGCAATATATTTCAAACATTTAATAAATCACATAATGGAATGGCTAGATGGCTGAAGCAGTTAAGGCATCAGCCTATCACTCTTAGGAACCTAGGATTGAATTCAAGCAAACCTCGGAAAATTTTCATAGGCAATCTGTCTCAGATATATCGTCCCGTCTTTCACTACCCAGCCAATCTCATTGTAAGCATGGCTGAACCCAGCAGCCCACCAGTGACACTCCTGATCAAAGGACTGACCGTATAGAGTTTTCTAAGTTATCTTCGTGTATCTAACACCAAAATAGGGACTAGTTTCCCATAGAAAGCTTTCTCGGAAGGCGACTGGTTTGCAAATCACCCTCGTGCTGCATTATTTTATCCCAAGAAACCAAAACCTGTCCATGACAGACATGGGAAAAAAAGCTTTCTTAATGCCAACAGAGCAGAGGAGTCAAAACTGAAAAAATAAAAATTACATTCATTGCATGCGATTTTTTTTTAACAGTGATGAATCGTGCTTTCTGGAAATCTGCAGCCAAAAATAATTTGAAGGTCCCCATCAAAAAAGTTTGTTAAAAACATTTGCCACAACATATACTTATTATAGCTAAAGAAAACCTGGCGAGGGCTTTTGCACAACTTTCCTATCGATCATAATATACAAAGTTAAAGTTACGTGTAGCCCCATCTGTTATGAGATTTTATTAGAAAATAACTTTTATGTTTAATTATTATATAAAGGCAAAAGGCTTATTTTTGAGGTAGGAGTGAGTTTTTAAAGAAATTGTAAATGCTAATAACAAATATAACTTTCATTAAGTCTGACTCCACTTGAGATATGACACAACTCTATCTCCTCCTTGACTTTTAACTACCAAAATTTAATAGCATCAATGACCCATATATAGAAAAATGGCTGCACAGAATTCCAAAATTTTTGGTTCATTCAGTCCTCGGATATATTGCAAAATACACACACATGCACATACAATTTTCTACGGAAATCTTTTACACTTTTGGACTGCCCAGATTTTTTATGTTTTTGACACTAAAGGAGTCCAAAATGTAAAAACAGCCAGGAAAGTAAATAAAGGTGGCGAAATATTACAATGATTAAAAAAAAAATACTACTGTAATATTAACTATAGTACTATTTAATTGATTTTTTTTTGACATGGGGTTTGGAGATACAGCTTCATTTACCCCTGTAATGATCTGTACTGATAATTAGTAATGCATTTGTAACGAGCAGAATTAATATTGTACAATGATTAAATATATAAACATCTCAAGAACCCGATGTATTAATAATCATCCAACCATCAGCCAAATTAATCGGACAATATGAAGCTACAATTAATAATTAGAAATTAGAGGTAGATGTTAGGTGCCCTCTCTTATTGAAAGTAGTAACTATAATTTTAATTTGTGGCATAATAAACACTAGTATTGTGTTTTATTCTAAAGACACATTGCAAATTTTCCATCAAGTTCCTTTATAATTTTAATATAATTTATAATCGTCTGGAAGAAAAGAATCGGCCCAGAACGGGAGTCGAACAGACAACCTCTGCTTACCATGCAGTGGGCTTACCAGTGGACGTTGAATACGTCCTCAGTCGATGCCATTGGTGATTGGATGGTTATGTCTAAAGTTTAAATGTGTCTGGAAGGGAAGAATCGCTCAGAGGTCCAGGTGGAGTAGCTGGTCAGCGCACTGCATTGATTAAATAATTACTAAAATATTGAAATGTAATTATGAGGTGTAGATATTCATGAAGGCAGTGATTTAAATAGATTTCTGAAAATGTTATATTTTTGCAATATAAAAATAGAATTTTCTTAGAAATCTTAACTTTAACTTTTTATATTGGTGCAAATGATTTTGATATAACTACATTTCAACTACTAAAAACACAATTTATAATATACAATAATTGTTAGGAATGAACTGAAAATTTATTTTCGGAGTTTCACAAATGAAAAAAATAACAAAAATTTCAATATTAAATTAAACATTATAAGGTTAAGATTTTAGTGTACAGTTATATGTTGACTTAAGTAAGTCCAAGTTACGTAATTTCAGACTCTTATAATGTGCTTTATCCCAACATATTGTTGTATGCAGTTTTATATGTCGGAAGTGCAGTTGTGTCCAAGCAGCACCATCAAAAGGCAACATATTGTCTTTTTAGAACTGTTCATTGAGGATCAACACATTTGTTTATTGTTGCTTGGTTGTTTATTATGTAACAGATTTGAAATTGTCAATATTTTATCAATAATTCCAAGTTATAGGAAATTTTGACTTATGGGGAATGATGTTTTAATTAATTATGTTAATAATTTATTTTTGTAATATATATTTTACCATATATATTAATATATGGTAAAATATTATGTACTTACCTTACTATTACCTTAATATCTGATAATGCATTTCATTAACGAAATATGATCATCAGAAAATTTAATATTTTGAACTAATATAAATATTGCACATGTATCTAGTTTTTATATTTAAAAAATGTGATGATGATGATTCATTATTGTTGTTTTAATATTATTATTATTTATAAAAAATGAAGCTTTTCAGAATTAATATTAGTATTTTTGGAAATATACAGCGGGTGACAAACATTTTCGAACTATCTTGCAGTTCTTCCTCAGGTCAACTAGCTTAGGAATACTTTAGAACGAAGCGTGTGGAGCGACAGGATCGAATGTCATTTAGACAAAGTCAGTTTCACTTGATATGTGTGGTCGTGAGCTGATGGAGCATCTAAAAGGGACTGCAGGTCAGCATCTAAAAGGGACTGCCAAGCCAGCGACAGATTTAGCTCCTCCTTTCGTTTGACACACATGGCTACTTGGCTGGCTTTATAAATGGTTATGGATTCTAGCCATTTAAGGTGGTCCTGGTGGGGTGTGCTGACGATGATCGTAGCTCTATCAAACTGCACCTCGACATCCAGATTAGATACATACGTAGCAAGTGTAGTGGTGAACCGCGCATGTTGGATAGCCGTTCGATGTTCTCTTATATGGGTACTTAGGGAATGCTAGGTAGAACTAATGTATAATAAGTCTTTGCTCCACCTGTTGTCTTTCAGAGGGATGGAATAAACACCAGGAAGTCTGGTGTGATCTGGAGGGTCTTTTCTTAAATGCATTACGCACGCTGGTAACAGGTTCAGGGAAGAGAGGATTTTACTCCAGTGCTGAAGTTAAAGTGAACTTTGTGATTAATATTTTTGGAATTATTTTTTGAGGACAATGCTATATTGTTACTTAAGTAAGGAGTAATCCCAAATTTTTTTGAAAGATCTGACAAATTTTACTTTGTTAGTATAAGAGGTATTCATAATGGGGAGTTTTTCTCATCTGTAGAAAAGCTGAATTGTACAGAAGCTAAGAATTATGAACATACCTACGGGCCAGATGATTTCAGAAAAATAATAATGTTATATAGTAGAAAAATGGAAATGATGATGACTGAATGACATAACAATGAAAATAAACAGTGAATTTAATATATGTAATGTGATGCAGTAATGTGATGAATAATCAGTATTCAGAGTAATCAAAAAATCATTAATGAGTGTTTAATCTTAGATTTTGCCATGAGATATGAAATAATGTACTTAGATGCAAGATTTGAAGTACTGTATTTATATCTGATGTTGATACCTAGAAGTATGAAAAAACAAACCTAAAACTTTTCAATTCTATTCACGGAAAGCTACAACTTCTGTAAATAAGTAATATAAAACCTTTGACACTTTTTCTAGTAATTTCTTTAATCAAACTAATGTTTTTGGCTATATTTAACGGCCTTCCTCAGGTTCAACGATATTGGAACGTCTGATGACATCATTGTTTTTACAAAAAAGTATTTTCTTTTCTTTTAAAAAATTTCTTTTAAATTACAATCATTAAATATACACAGAAATAGAAAAAATTTAAACACAATTAATTAATAAATGTAAATGGATAACAAATTAGAGTTATACATTAATATGTTTTCATTCCTATGATGTCAATGTTTTTACAAAAATTATTAAAACACAATTAATTAATAAATATATAAATGGATAACAAATTACAGAAAATGACTATTGTTGATAGGATTAAAATATTTATAAATTTGTAGGATTGCGATGTCACATTTCGCATGAGATAGATGGGTTAGCCCACTTCCTTTAGGAGGTTGCCTAGCCATAGATAGCAAGTCTGCATCTCTGCTGTTAATGCAATTTTCTTTGAGTGATTTCACAAAGATTTTCAGTGTTTCTATTGTTCTTAGCTTGCTGTTATTGAGTATTGGAATTATAATCTTAGCTTCTTCCCATTTAGCTGTTATGCCTGGCTCGCTTGCATATTGGGCTAGGGTAGTACTAACTTATTCTGCATATCATACTTACGTTCTGTTATCCTTTTTGCTAACCTTTCTGCTTTGACCTTCTTGACTATGATTTTATAAGTTTGGCTCATTCTAGGGTCAAAATCAACTACTATGCATTTTCTTTGCTGTTCTGGAGATCTGGCATTTACGGCTTCTGTTTCTAGGTTGCCTTGTATTTTGTGAGCTAGCTCTTCTATTAACTTACTGCTGTAACCGTGGGCTATGGCCATGTGTTTAATGTGTTGTATTTCTTGTAATGCGTCCTTGATGTTAGAGGAATGGGTAAAAGCTCTTCGGATCAGAGCTCTGTATGCTGCTATTTTATAAATATATGGTCGTTGGATGTTGAGGGGATAAAGAAAGATTGTAGGTTAGGCTTATGGTATACTTTTGTAGTTATACAACCATTTCCCAGATGTATCTGGAGATCAAGGAAATGAGCCGTCTTATCACCTCCTTGATCTAATTTTAACATAAGCCCAAACAGATTGTTATTAATAGTCTGCAATACTGTATCTATATCTGGCTTAGATCTCCAGATAATAAGAATGTCATCAACATAACACATGTATAATATGAATTCTGAGCTGAAGTTTTCTAGGATTTGGCTCTCTAATTTTCTAACTACTAATTCACAGAGGTCTCCAGATAGGGGGCTACCCATTAGAACCCCTCTTTTTTGAAGATAGATTTGCTTGTTGAAAGTAAAAATTGAGGGCTAACTCTAAAATATGTTTGTGGTGCTTGGACCTGGATGGTACTGTCTGAAAAAGGAAATCTCTAAGGGCACAGAAGCACAGTTCCAGTTTAATGGAAGGATACATTGCTTCAAAGTCTAGGACTGTAATATATTCGTGATCTGTTAAAGCAATACTTTCTAATTTAGCAATGAGTTCATGAATATTCGAAATGGTGTAATTATATTCTTTTAAATGGTTGTGTAAACCCTTCTCAATGGCTAGCGTTGGGGATCTCAATTTGTGCACAATGGGCTGTTGTGGAGGCTGAGGGGGGAATTTCAAAAAACTCAATGAATGATAATATGTGATCTATATTGTCATTGTCTCCCTTGCCGTCTGGAATGCAAGCGGTAACAATCAACGACATGTGGAAGCAGTTGAATCAGAGATAGATGTCTCGTTTACAACAACACAACCCGTTTATTAAACACGAAAGAAGCTTGCAAGATTTCCGCGATCTTGGAAGTTCTGTGGCGGCTGCGGTCTCTGAGTCTTCCTCTCCTTTCGAAGATAGTCCCATTTTGAAGGAGTATCCCTTGTTCGCAAATGAACAATTCCATCACGTCTCAACGACTCCAGGACGATGCAGTTGACTTCCGTTGATGGAAAGTTGTCAATCCAAGGTCGGGAGATGGAAACGAAGATAAGCGTGAGACACACACACATAACAATAGATCCGTCACTTGGAACTTTCGGGAGAAGAAGCTGTCGCGTCCTTGAATTTCCAGGGTTTTATCCGTTTTCCTCAGATTCCACTTTCTGATTGGTCTCTTCTTGTCACCTGATGACAATTCAAAACCTTTTGGGGGTGCGGGAGAAGTCAAAATCGACGTTTAATTTGATCTCCAACCAGAGACTTACATTCTTCTATTATTTAAAAGTTATCATCGCATTTTCATAAAATAAAAATCTATTTCTAACTACTATATTTTTTCTTTAAAACAAAATTATTTTAACACAAATTTTAGTGAGGGTTCAGACCTATCCAGAGCCTCACACCGTATTTGTTTGCTTGATTTATTTCCTGTCTTATAACGTCCTCAATCATGAATCACTCAGACACTTTGCCAACTAGGCATTTACATGCTTTGCTGTTTTCATACATTTTTCTCAAACCTTTAAATAGTTTCTCCCTATCTCTCACTCTATAATCACATAATGCTGCCACAATTTCTCCCTATTCACTCTATCATATGCTTTTTATAAATCAACAAACACTGCAAAACTTTTTTTATCCATGTTCAAACATTTCTCCACAATCATTTGCAATGCAAAGATTTGGTTCACAAACCCTCTTCACTTTCATAAATCCGAATTGCACTTTCCATATTTGCTTTGCAGTCAGCTTCTCAACTCTATCAACCTACACTTGTGCAAATACTTTTCTATGTATGCTCTGCAACCTTATATCATAGAAGTTCTTGCAGTCTATCCTTTCACCTTTTTCTTTGTATATTGGTACAATCACCACATTCCTCCAATCATATGGTACCATGTCCTAATCTCAACATAAGTTGCAAAATTGGAGCATCCATTCTTCCACATTTCTCCCTCTGTATTTTAACATTTCTGCACTCATTTTCTCTTCTAAATTTTTAGCAATACCGATTAAAAATAACTAAAAGAAGCAAATTAGAATAAAAAAATTATCAATTAATTGTTATAAATTTCAAAACATTCAGAGGAAAAGACAAAGGGGATGACTGTCATTTCTCCCTTTTTCAATAGTGTTAAGTAACAGATGTTACTCTATCCATATCAATTCATAACAGACAAGAGAGGAGGAGGACTAATGAATAACCAATTATGCTTATCTTTCAATATCTGAACTTCCTCTAGAATAAAATCATGATTGGTCAGAAAAAAGAATAAAACAAAGGGAATGACAAAAATCCTGCAGAAAGAGAGAAAAAGAGAAAGTGACAGAGAAAGACAGAGAATCAGGGAGAAAATGAAGAAATAGAGAGGGAAAAGAAGAGAATGAACACAACATCCAGAAAGAGAGTCAACTCTTAGAAAAGAGGGCCTCACTAGATGAGACTGTTAAATCTGGAGGAAATAAGAGTCAGCAAAAAGAGAGAGATAAGGAAGGAAAGAGATAAAGTGCAAAAGAATGGAAAAGAATACAGAAGATATTTTATGAAAAGACAACTCTTTTCCTGGTATGTTGTGAGTCGCAAAGTTTTGGATAACCCTCCTCTAGGTACCCCATTTTACTACTATAGAAATAGGCTAACTTCTGAGGACAGACTTTGTATTTAATATTAATTTAAAACTTAATTTTAAATGTTATGTTTAGATTTTTTTCGTAATAAATTTTCATTTTTATTCTTGAGTTGGTTTAATTGATTTTGCATTCATCCTCCTGAGAGGATCATTCCTGGACTTCGGAGTGACTCTTACCGTAATGCCTTACATATCTGACTTCCCTAAAGTCTAAATCAGGTATCCTACCTAAAACTCCCTAAACTTGACAGCCCCAAGCCTCTAATGAAAGAGGAATGTAATAGCAAGAGCAACTTGCTCTTGCTCTTACATTCCACACACCCAAGCGACATTCACACTTCCACTTTCTTTTCCTCATCAGCCTGTTCTGGTCCTATCAATTCCTGGTTGGTGAGGGACTCTCGAAGTCATGAATTCCATCATTCCCAGACCCTGCTTTTCTTTTCTTTTACTTTCTATTTAACAAGAGAGAGTTTCTACATGGTAGGGTATTATTAGCCCCATGCACAATAGCCCCAACTTGAGGACTAGCGATCCTACTTTAGTCTGGCTCCTGGCTACTTTTAGTCCTGGCTTCCTGTTCGACAGGAATACTTTAGCGTTGGTATTTCTGCTGGTAATAAAGCTGCTGCTGACATAGCTCACAGGGTCTAAAGGGCATGCAGGTCTGCTCATCACATCAAGGTGGGAATCTCGGAACAGGAAATTATTACAAATTATATGTATGAGACCAATATCTTTATTAATTAAAATAATTGACTTTAGTGTAAAAGTGATTTATAACAAAAACAAGTAAAGAAAAAAGTTAAAATGATTCTTAAAATTAAAAAAAAAAAGCCANATGCCGTCAGAAAAAGTACTTTTAAACATGTAGAACTTGCAATATAAATGAGATTGCATTTTTAAGTTCACAAATTACATGTGCACTCTTCCAATTGCAAACATACAGCACTGTTCATGTGGAAAAAAAAATTGAACTACAAGGCCGAAAAGTTTTAAATTTTAAAAAACGGCCATTTCTTTTGCAATGACCCAATACCTATATTTCTATATCTTATATTTGTTTTTAAAAAATTTCACTTGAAATTATTTTATAATGATTAAAAACTGTATATAATCTTTTTACTTTCCATTAAGACTCTAGCCTATATTGTATTTCTTAATATATTAAGTTTGTTTTGTAATTTTGTTTAACAATTAGATAAATAAGGGATAATAATGCAAAATAAAATAAATAAACTAACTGCATTTCAAAAATCATAACCAAAATATTGTCAGATTTTCTTTTGATGATATTTAGTTAAATATTTTTCAAAGTATCTCACAATGAAAATGATCCAATTTTTTGCAGCATTATTCCTATACTTTTAACTGAAATCATTGTTTCAACTGCTCCAGTACAATTTAGGGGTTTTTCATTTTTCTGGAAACAGTATCTTGGCACTTGCAACTTATTTGACACGAGCCTTTAAATGTAAAATACAGTGACATTCCATTAACCCGGTATCGTCGGGACTGATGTGGTGCTGGGTTATTGAATATGCCAACTTATTGGACAATGAAATTTTTTCCAGTTTTTTTTCAATTCCCTGACACAATTTTATATATCTTTGTCTGTAAAACAGGACAAATCCACCTTTTACTATTATTTAACATGCCATTTCTATTTTTCCAGACTATTCCTACCTTCGGTTGGTTTGAAACAAGAACACTCTAATCTTACTATGTGTTTTGTACACTTTTATTTATATCTATATTTATTATTATTACATATATTAAAAACAAAATGTTCCGCCATCATCAACTAAAACTGAAACTAACACTTTATAAGTGCTATAGATAGAGACTTAACCCTTACTGCCAAGATGAAATATAACCAAATCAATCAAGATAGACAACAAGTACTTTATCCACACTTTCCAAAATATTATGTTTTGATTAATTAATTACAATTAAAATCAAATCAATTAATTTTATTTTTAATTTTGGTGTAAAGGCCAGAGATTTAATTATTAATTAATTTTATTACTATTTTTAGTCTTAATTAACTTGCTACCTAATTGCATTTAAATACAGACGAATACCCAGTGCATCGATCCCCCAAAGACGGAGCTGGATGTGCCAGCATACCGGATGTCATGTTAATGGGATCTCACTGTACTGATTTATTTTTAATAGACGGCAATTCCAAAAAGGAATTTTCAAAGATAGAAAATGCACATTTTTAACAGAAAACGAATAGACAAATATATAAACCAAGGTGATATAAAATGATTTTCTGTAAAAATTGAACTGATTTGAAAAAACTTGCTCATTGAGACACAATCTTGCAAACACATGTAAGGTACACTCCTACCAAGTCACGTGTTCTTCACTAATATGTTCTGCACAACAAGTCATTCAGGATTTTTTAACTTTGATTTTTGTGAAAACATTTGAGAAGCTTTTCTGAATAATGGTTCGTACCAAGGCTTATCCGTACAAACAATATAACTGAAATCTATAATGGCTACATCATGACCTATTCTTGTTAGATACGAATGTATATTTTAGGTCTTTTAATAAATATAAATGCTATGTATAGACTGAAACTTGATTTTAAAAAAATGCATGTTCATATTTTGAAGCAGTGATCATTTTATTATTCTGGCCTAAGATTAAAAACCTACTTAAGCCAGGAAGTTTAGAGTCCACGCAACTCCTACCTTTACAAATTTTATTGTACTATTTTAACTTACACACTTGCATAAAAATAATCATTCAAATTATTATAACAAAAAAATAAGTTTGTAAAGGATACGAATTTTCATTTCTTTCTGCCTCAACTATAGATGGGTATATGAATTTCTCTTTAAATTCATTCACTGCTTTCTACAATCAAATAAGATTTCAAATTAAACAATTAAATGAACTGTGAAAATAAAATTTAGGATACAAGCTTATTAAAATAAGCGAAAAAATAATAATAAAAGCAATAATCAGAAAACTTTTTTTTTACAATAATAAACTATACATGCCTCGCAATCTTTCCATAACAGAGGTTGATGTATTCCATCGTTTCCATATTTTTTATTGTATTTCTCATAACAGACTTCTTCCAACATCAGTCCAATGCTTGGAGCAATAGGAATGTCAATCTAGTAAAGAAATAATTATTTAAAGAAGTAATTTTTCTCATAATATATCAGGATAATAGAAGAAGCAAACAAAACAAATTAAATTTGTAAATATTGATATCATCAAAATAGCTTACCCTATTGTTACTCCAACATCTTTGCAGACAATTGGCATCTGTTACATTCCTAATGATTGCAATTACCAAACCAATCATTTTTCTTATCTGATGTAACATAAAGCTTTGTCCTTTTATTTTAAGGGTGACAAATTCTATTTCATCTTGTACAAATGGCTTCCCACACTAAAATCAAATATAATTGTTTTTTTATATCTAGTTACAGTAAATATGGTTTTAAAAATAATTTTAATTATCTAGTAATCTTTTTTAGTGTAAGATAAGAGTTCAATTAGAAAGTAAAGTATTGTTGAAAAGGAGGTAAGATGACGGATGGAGATAAAAGCATGCATCATACTCCCAAAGACAATAGCTCATTCTTATCCAAAACAATATTTTTTTCTGTCTGCATTTTTCTTTAGATACAAGTACAGTTATACTGAAGAGAGATACCATTAATAATCTAAATATGAATCCTCGTGTATCAATGATAAGATTTGATAAGCATTCAGATGAAAAAATATGTTTTGTCAAAAGTGAATGTTTCTATATTTATTTTTATATGACATATTATTTTCTAAAAATATATTCCACTAAGAATTGAGAACATTGCAATGAAAAGTTTCAGCCCAGCATTGTAACCATGTCACAATAAATAATCGCTAGTTAATATATATATATATTAAATTGAAATGCCCACTTACAATCCTATTATTTATTAGTCCAAAAAATCTACAACATCTTTATTACATTTTAAATTCAAATTGTTTATTTAGAACTTTTGGTGGATGCACATTCTAAAGAAGAAGAGTATGCTTAGAACAAAAAAAAAAAAAAAAAAACTGCATGAAAACATGAAGTGGGTGGTGGAACACATCTTTTAAAGAGGAAAGACGTGTTTTGTTTTTAACAGAAATTTGAGGGCGAAATAAAAGATTTAGGTAATCCCGATACTACTCCCGAGATCCTACAGAAAAAGATAATTGTTTGTTTTGTCATTTATTAAAATTTATATTTGCATAAATTTAGAGTTGTTAATAAAAAAAGAACCCGTGGGAACTATGATCCATCAGAAATCAGAATATGGACTGAGCAGAGGTGGTTTTGATTCATTTATCCACGACAATATAAATACCTCTTGCCAACTGTGAAGGTTTACGTTTCAAATAAATGGTAATTGGTAAAACTGCAAGCTCTATGAACAATAGGGAGTTAGAAGAAGAAGAAGAATCATGACTCTGAATATATGCAGTATAATGGAAAAAGTCAATTTCACATTAAAAATGCAACAATATAACAAACTTTTGTAACTATGAAATTGAACCAATTTAAAAATTATTTTTTTTAAACTTGATGAGTGACAGTACAGCTTTTCTTGATAAGAATTGTAAACTCTTTTTTTTAATAAAAGGAATCAGAATCTAATTAAAATTAGTTAGATCATTTGCACATCTTGTTTTTTCAGATTTCTGCTTTATTTCGTAATTTTGCTGTGGTAAAAATTTTTTAATAGTATTTTCATTAACTCTAAATTTAGATAATCATTATATGTTATCTATTATTATTATTATTATTATAACAGTAATTAGTTTTGTAGACCTGGAAATTTTCCAATTAAAATGTACGTGTAGAACTGGTTCAAAAACACATTAAAAGTTTGTCTTAATTATTATTATTTTACTGTAATATATTTAGTATTAATGATTGCTTTCTGGCTGCATCTTATGAATTTTAACTAATGCATAAAAATTATTACAAATTTAGGATTAAGACAAACTTTTGGTATGCTTTTGAACCAGTTCTACAAGTACATTTTAATTGGAAAATTTCCAGGTTTACAAATCTAATTACTGTAGCAGTTGTATAATAACTCTACTGGTTTAGGCATTAAGGCTTGAACTCATTCCAGACTCCAAAATTTATTATGGTAGTATGGGTCAAATCATTCCTCATCTCTGATTTGTGTTGCTTAATCTTGTGAAGGATGTAAATATGTTAGTATGCTGTAGAATAGGTTTTTCACAGTTTCCATTTCTTAATATAGACTAGTATGCTATATTCAATAAACGAATGTGATGTATTACATCACATTCATATCATCACACGTATTTCAAAATTGTAGCAGATTCACATCGAATGTTGTTCAAAAAATCGTTTTATTTAAATTTGTATGTATTCCTCTCTTGAACTTTCAATATAAAAGTATCTTATTCGCCTGAAGACAACGGAAATACATTCGTTGAAAACGCTCAAATGAAAAACACTTAATAACGCTGCACACAGTGAGTTTTACTGCTTATTAATATCACTTGGTGTGAATAGCATACTAGTCTATATTAAAAAATATGTTAGTATCTTTCATTAATTAACCGATCAACCAAAATTACTAGTTTATATAGTATAAACATGCAAATATTTATTGTGACATCGTCACAATGCCAGGCTGCAATTTTTTATCATATTTTTAATTTATTTCATTTAAGATATATGCTCTCCACCTCAAATTAGTACTGTAGTGTCTTGCTTCTGTACATCATACTTTTCCTTTAACAAGAATCATACCAGTCATCTATCTAACACCTTTCAGGGGAAAATTTTGAATTGAAATAGCCTGACTGTAGATAATCCTATCTGAATTAATAGATTCCCTCCCGCCAATTTGTCATACTGAATTAAAATAGTCAAATATCTTAACACACACACAAAAAAAAAACCACTTTAATCACACTTGATTGCATATGGTAGAAACTCAATCCTATGTAATAATGAGACTCTTCTTATCCTTCCTTGTCCACTTCTCCTCACTCTCTTGACCTCACACCTCTGCTCTGACTCTCGTTTTTCCTGCCCTTTTTTTTTAATGGCTCTGTCTACCCTTGTTTAGCTACTGTCTCCCTTTTTATAATCCTTTGTCTACGCTTGTTTATTACTTTTACAACTACTTGTATAGGGATTGGATATGGACCGACAAGATCGCAGTTGGGGGGAAGAGTAGGTCCAATATCACTATGGTAACTTTGCATCAGAAGTTCGTATATAGTTAATCGGGGCCTCTTGCCCCTAAGGTTTCCATATCCAGTCTTGGATTTCATCTATTTAACTCCATTCTTGAGGTTAAGGAAAGACAGACGACAGTGGGAATTTATACGTCTATAATTTTTTCATATTGCAGCCCAATAAATAATCTATTGATCATTTTTTCACATAAATATATGAATCATATAATTGTTTTATTTTTATTTTTTGCTTTAAATAGACAAACTTTATTTTAAATAAAATTTTCATCCAGAATTTTGTTGCTGATGGAAGCAGTTTTCTTAGCTTTGACTGTATAAGACTTGTTAATTGAAACTATCCTTGGACATATATGTAGACATATATTACATATATTGGCTGCATTCAGCATACTCAACAATTCTAATTTAACAGATATGGTAGTGATAACTGATACAATCTCCTAAACGACAAATTATGAACCAATGCAAGTGATAGTGGTACTACAGTAGTTTCTGCTCGTTCTACAAATTTTAAAAATAACTTAATGTTATTGAATGTTTTTAAGTTTTATTTTGCATCATCTGTTTTTAGTTGCTAATAAATGTTTTTGAGTAGATTAACACTGTAATCCATCTAAGTAATACTGTATATTCTTCACATGCTATGTAGCTAGAGCCATTTACCGTACCCGAAGGTACTGTAAATGAATTCCTGTAATAGTCATGATGCCAAAATACTCAACAGGTTCGGAAGTATGGCTACCGTGGAGGTCCTTCAGTAGAAAAGTACTCTGCCGAAGCAGTAATTGATTATATTTGTGGAAACAAGTCGGCATTTCATATAATTTTCAAGTTTATCAATATAAAATATAAGTTTTTTTTAATACAGGAACATTTTTTAAATGTAAAAAAAAAAATATCTTTTCAACATTCCATAGAAAAAGTTGTTGAAGAGAGAGAAATTCACATTACAGAACTTTTTAATATGGAAATTAGACTATATTTTAATTTCAATAATTTAAAAATTAGTATTTCAACAGTTTACTTTACTAATTAATAAATTTTTTATTTTTTTTATAGTCAGCTGGAAGAGAGAAATTTAGAAGCCATTTCAAAATTAATAGAAAAATCAAATGAACAAATTGAAAAACAATTAGAACAATTTCAAAATAAACTTTGGGAAAAAACAGAGAAACGACTACAAGAATTGGAACAAAAGATTCTCTGCAAACTTGATGAAATCTTAACCTTTATCAAACCTCATGGAGTTTCTAGATGAGATGGTCATCAATTGAAAAGTTTGGATTAACTTGGTAAAGTTTGTAGTAGTTTATTTTGCTGTGAATATCAGTATAATTATAATAATTTTCTTTCTGTGTTAATTCTTTCCATTCATCACTTCAAGAAATCAATGCTTCTATTTAACAGAAATATACATTACAATTTTAATTTTAATATTTCCAATTCAGTAAAATGTGACTTATGGAAGTACATACTTTAACCCATAAAGAAAATTGATTTGTGTGCTAAATATTTGTGAAGGATGATTTGCATCAATCAAAAAATAGATCTTATACCTGATCCTTTTAAAGAAGTAAATTAAAGTTCTAGAGATAATCAAAAAACATCATTCTTCAATGAGAAAAGATACATCTAAATCATTTTTATTTATATTGAAAGGGGTTCAGTCTCTAAGAACTGCTTGTAGTTGATCTTGATCATCCTATATTCATAGTAAATGAAACTGTAAGGTTTAAAATAAAATTATTTATTGCTATAATACTTATGTTACTTTCAATAACTGAAACGAATCGTTTAAAAAATTTTAATGTTTTTTAAACAAAGATAAAAATTTAAAAAAGAACATTTATTCATACGTGAATACAATTAACACGATTATGTTTCAAGATGATGATACATTTTGATGATTCAAATGTAAGTTTGTTTTCATTTTCCTCTTTAGAGCCCTAAAAATAATAATAATTATTATTATTAATATAGGAAAATCATATAGTCTAATAATATTATATGCAAAAACTAAAATTACCTATTCTTGTGTGTTGGAATTTCCATCTTTAGATAAATTCTCTTTGGGTGGTGAAGGTTCTCTTACGTCGTACGTATGATCCTTCAACATTGACATCCAATTTAACATTATAGAAATAAGTCAAGACCAATACTTTTATTATAATTTTCTGTTCATAATCAAGTTTAAAAGGCTTTTCTGTATTGATACATTTACTATAAATATTATTTCATTTTAAATTATTAAGAGAACAAATTTTTACTATTTCTTCTAAAGATGATTCTACTAAGAAACTGCATTTTTGAGTAGAAGTATGTTGATGATAATGCTAAAAAAATTAAGACTCATTTTTCTATTAGGTTGTTGCAAATGAAACGCCTGATTTTTACTTCTGACTGAACGTTTATTAATTTAATTTAAAACTTACACATTTGATCAAAATTGTCTCCACCAACATACATCTTTCCCAATGCAATAGAAATCACGAGAACAAGAAGCCAAAAAGTCATTAAAGGTACTTTTTTTTGCATCCTCTTCCTCAAAGACTTTCCTTGCCAAAAACTGTCCAAATGTATAAAAAAGGTGATAATCTGTTGGCAAAAAGTCTGGAGATAAGATGGATGGGAAAAATTTCATTCAAATACGCTCATTTTTGTGACAAATAATTAAAAAAACTGAAGACCTTCAAATGATACTCCTTATCTCTCACCAAGTTTGTGTGGTACACATTTGTCGAGCTTCTCAACTTTTCCTAACATGTTTAGATATAGAGAAATGTTCGGATAATGTCTGGTACATTCAACCTTTCTGTGATTTCCCGGATAGTCGGGTGACGTTCTGATTTGAAGATGTTCTTTGATTCTCATTTTTTAGATTTGTATCCCCAGAATGAAATTTTTTGAACCAATGCCTGAAGGCCTTCTCACTCGCAGAACCTTTGCCAAAAGTTTTATTGATATTTCGGGTTGCTTCGGTTGCATTTCAATAACTGCAATATGTCCCTGCTTATATTCAAAAAAGAAAATTATTCAATTTCCTTTTCTCCATGCCGTCAGAAAAAGTACTTTTAAACATGTAGAACTTGCAATATAAATGAGATTGCATTTTTAAGTTCACAAATTACATGTGCACTCTTCCAATTGCAAACATACAGCACTGTTCATGTGGAAAAAAAAATTGAACTACAAGGCCGAAAAGTTTTAAATTTTAAAAAACGGCCATTTCTTTTGCAATGACCCAATACCTATATTTCTATATCTTATATTTGTTTTTAAAAAATTTCACTTGAAATTATTTTATAATGATTAAAAACTGTATATAATCTTTTTACTTTCCATTAAGACTCTAGCCTATATTGTATTTCTTAATATATTAAGTTTGTTTTGTAATTTTGTTTAACAATTAGATAAATAAGGGATAATAATGCAAAATAAAATAAATAAACTAACTGCATTTCAAAAATCATAACCAAAATATTGTCAGATTTTCTTTTGATGATATTTAGTTAAATATTTTTCAAAGTATCTCACAATGAAAATGATCCAATTTTTTGCAGCATTATTCCTATACTTTTAACTGAAATCATTGTTTCAACTGCTCCAGTACAATTTAGGGGTTTTTCATTTTTCTGGAAACAGTATCTTGGCACTTGCAACTTATTTGACACGAGCCTTTAAATGTAAAATACAGTGACATTCCATTAACCCGGTATCGTCGGGACTGATGTGGTGCTGGGTTATTGAATATGCCAACTTATTGGACAATGAAATTTTTTCCAGTTTTTTTTCAATTCCCTGACACAATTTTATATATCTTTGTCTGTAAAACAGGACAAATCCACCTTTTACTATTATTTAACATGCCATTTCTATTTTTCCAGACTATTCCTACCTTCGGTTGGTTTGAAACAAGAACACTCTAATCTTACTATGTGTTTTGTACACTTTTATTTATATCTATATTTATTATTATTACATATATTAAAAACAAAATGTTCCGCCATCATCAACTAAAACTGAAACTAACACTTTATAAGTGCTATAGATAGAGACTTAACCCTTACTGCCAAGATGAAATATAACCAAATCAATCAAGATAGACAACAAGTACTTTATCCACACTTTCCAAAATATTATGTTTTGATTAATTAATTACAATTAAAATCAAATCAATTAATTTTATTTTTAATTTTGGTGTAAAGGCCAGAGATTTAATTATTAATTAATTTTATTACTATTTTTAGTCTTAATTAACTTGCTACCTAATTGCATTTAAATACAGACGAATACCCAGTGCATCGATCCCCCAAAGACGGAGCTGGATGTGCCAGCATACCGGATGTCATGTTAATGGGATCTCACTGTACTGATTTATTTTTAATAGACGGCAATTCCAAAAAGGAATTTTCAAAGATAGAAAATGCACATTTTTAACAGAAAACGAATAGACAAATATATAAACCAAGGTGATATAAAATGATTTTCTGTAAAAATTGAACTGATTTGAAAAAACTTGCTCATTGAGACACAATCTTGCAAACACATGTAAGGTACACTCCTACCAAGTCACGTGTTCTTCACTAATATGTTCTGCACAACAAGTCATTCAGGATTTTTTAACTTTGATTTTTGTGAAAACATTTGAGAAGCTTTTCTGAATAATGGTTCGTACCAAGGCTTATCCGTACAAACAATATAACTGAAATCTATAATGGCTACATCATGACCTATTCTTGTTAGATACGAATGTATATTTTAGGTCTTTTAATAAATATAAATGCTATGTATAGACTGAAACTTGATTTTAAAAAAATGCATGTTCATATTTTGAAGCAGTGATCATTTTATTATTCTGGCCTAAGATTAAAAACCTACTTAAGCCAGGAAGTTTAGAGTCCACGCAACTCCTACCTTTACAAATTTTATTGTACTATTTTAACTTACACACTTGCATAAAAATAATCATTCAAATTATTATAACAAAAAAATAAGTTTGTAAAGGATACGAATTTTCATTTCTTTCTGCCTCAACTATAGATGGGTATATGAATTTCTCTTTAAATTCATTCACTGCTTTCTACAATCAAATAAGATTTCAAATTAAACAATTAAATGAACTGTGAAAATAAAATTTAGGATACAAGCTTATTAAAATAAGCGAAAAAATAATAATAAAAGCAATAATCAGAAAACTTTTTTTTTACAATAATAAACTATACATGCCTCGCAATCTTTCCATAACAGAGGTTGATGTATTCCATCGTTTCCATATTTTTTATTGTATTTCTCATAACAGACTTCTTCCAACATCAGTCCAATGCTTGGAGCAATAGGAATGTCAATCTAGTAAAGAAATAATTATTTAAAGAAGTAATTTTTCTCATAATATATCAGGATAATAGAAGAAGCAAACAAAACAAATTAAATTTGTAAATATTGATATCATCAAAATAGCTTACCCTATTGTTACTCCAACATCTTTGCAGACAATTGGCATCTGTTACATTCCTAATGATTGCAATTACCAAACCAATCATTTTTCTTATCTGATGTAACATAAAGCTTTGTCCTTTTATTTTAAGGGTGACAAATTCTATTTCATCTTGTACAAATGGCTTCCCACACTAAAATCAAATATAATTGTTTTTTTATATCTAGTTACAGTAAATATGGTTTTAAAAATAATTTTAAACAGTTAAGAAGGGTGTATATATATTCACATGATATTTTTAAAAACAATTTATATATATNTCCCCCAAAGACGGATGATAGATTTTGATGATTCAAATGTAAGTTTGTTTTCATTTTCCTCTTTAGAGCCCTAAAAATAATAATAATTATTATTATTAATATAGGAAAATCATATAGTCTAATAATATTATATGCAAAAACTAAAATTACCTATTCTTGTGTGTTGGAATTTCCATCTTTAGATAAATTCTCTTTGGGTGGTGAAGGTTCTCTTACGTCGTACGTATGATCCTTCAACATTGACATCCAATTTAACATTATAGAAATAAGTCAAGACCAATACTTTTATTATAATTTTCTGTTCATAATCAAGTTTAAAAGGCTTTTCTGTATTGATACATTTACTATAAATATTATTTCATTTTAAATTATTAAGAGAACAAATTTTTACTATTTCTTCTAAAGATGATTCTACTAAGAAACTGCATTTTTGAGTAGAAGTATGTTGATGATAATGCTAAAAAAATTAAGACTCATTTTTCTATTAGGTTGTTGCAAATGAAACGCCTGATTTTTACTTCTGACTGAACGTTTATTAATTTAATTTAAAACTTACACATTTGATCAAAATTGTCTCCACCAACATACATCTTTCCCAATGCAATAGAAATCACGAGAACAAGAAGCCAAAAAGTCATTAAAGGTACTTTTTTTTGCATCCTCTTCCTCAAAGACTTTCCTTGCCAAAAACTGTCCAAATGTATAAAAAAGGTGATAATCTGTTGGCAAAAAGTCTGGAGATAAGATGGATGGGAAAAATTTCATTCAAATACGCTCATTTTTGTGACAAATAATTAAAAAAACTGAAGACCTTCAAATGATACTCCTTATCTCTCACCAAGTTTGTGTGGTACACATTTGTCGAGCTTCTCAACTTTTCCTAACATGTTTAGATATAGAGAAATGTTCGGATAATGTCTGGTACATTCAACCTTTCTGTGATTTCCCGGATAGTCGGGTGACGTTCTGATTTGAAGATGTTCTTTGATTCTCATTTTTTAGATTTGTATCCCCAGAATGAAATTTTTTGAACCAATGCCTGAAGGCCTTCTCACTCGCAGAACCTTTGCCAAAAGTTTTATTGATATTTCGGGTTGCTTCGGTTGCATTTCAATAACTGCAATATGTCCCTGCTTATATTCAAAAAAGAAAATTATTCAATTTCCTTTTCTCCATGCCGTCAGAAAAAGTACTTTTAAACATGTAGAACTTGCAATATAAATGAGATTGCATTTTTAAGTTCACAAATTACATGTGCACTCTTCCAATTGCAAACATACAGCACTGTTCATGTGGAAAAAAAAATTGAACTACAAGGCCGAAAAGTTTTAAATTTTAAAAAACGGCCATTTCTTTTGCAATGACCCAATACCTATATTTCTANTTTCATCTTGTACAAATGGCTTCCCACACTAAAATCAAATATAATTGTTTTTTTATATCTAGTTACAGTAAATATGGTTTTAAAAATAATTTTAAACAGTTAAGAAGGGTGTATATATATTCACATGATATTTTTAAAAACAATTTATATATATATATTCTATCATACATTGCACAATACATTTTAATAGATTCATGTCAAAAATTAAATGATGAGTCCATTTCAGTAAATAATTTGATAGTGTGATCTTAGTATCTTACTGTATAGAAGAGAAAAAAATCCTACTAAATGTTCTTTTGCCATTTTCTGTTCTCTTTGTATTACTTAATTTGTTGTCTTAAAGTAAATTTAATAAGCATAACCTTAGCATTAAACTATACTATTACAGTAAAACCTTGTTATTTTGAAACTCAACAGACCAAAAAACACAACTTTTAATTATCTGAAGTTTTCTCTGAATCAGAGTTTTTGTAATTCTCAAATTAAATTACGACATTATCTTATATAATTTCATCTGCTATTTTAAGCAATTTTGAAAAAACTGTCAGTTGGCACGTACTTAAGCTTCTTTTGTACATTATTCTTAGTTCTTGCTTTGAACGTAATTTGGTTACATTTTCATTGTTTTTGTTTAAGTGCTTATATATGAAATACTGTGAATTTTATCTAGAAGACCAATTGCTAGTTCTGTGTAATAAGTTCTATTAATTAATAGCAAAAGTTATGTATGCATTATATATTGTGAATATGCACATGTATTTAATGGACTTTGGAATTATTGAAACAGTAGATTTTTGCAAAAAATGTCCAAAATAATTACATGCCAAACAGATTTCTTCCATAAAAATGAAAAAAATTGGCTCTTCATTGGCAATGTTTACAACAGGGATGGGCAACCTTTTTCTATGTAAGGGCCGCATTTCAAAACTTTTGAACTGACGCGGGCCGCATACAAGAGAAAAAAAAAGTCAGTAAATCACAATTATTTATTCGTATATAATTATAAATTAGCCTTTGTAGACTTAATTTAGCTTCTGAAACTGACGTAAACGTAATATATCGGAAATATTTCGTTAAATATTAGTCACTGCTAGCTTTAAATTAGTTTCAATGTGTCTGTTAGCCGGATTTTTTGTTTTAATTTTTACTAAATTCATCGTGGAAAAACTATTCACATACATAAGTTGTAGAAAATAACATTTGAATTTTTGCTGCATACTTTCTTAAGCTGGAAAATTGATATATTTTTTCATAGTTTACATGGTTCGCAAAAAATATTACTGCAGGTTGCCCATCCCTGGTTTACAATGTCTGAATGACCTTGAATGGACGCCCAATAGATCAACAGTGTATACTTGGTAAAACCGAAACTGTCACTTGGGCGAGGAAACTTTCATATGAACACATAATATGATGGAAGATTTAGAATTAAATGATATTTTGGCCGGTCACCGGACCAGATAACAACTTCAAATTTCATTGTATGCATATTTCGAATTATCCAAACTAAAATATATGCAAAATCCTATTCTCTTGGCCGGGGACTAGACTTGACTTTGAATTATGCAATACTTTAAATTGTCCAATATTGAAATAACAAGGTTTTACTGTATAATTAAGCATAATTTATTAAGCAGATTGATTTGACAGTTTATTTGCTTCCATATACACGTAAGGAAAATGAAGTAATCTAGTTCTACATACATTCAGTATTTTTTGGAAACAAAGAAATATAGGGAAAAGCTGGCTGCTATATTATTATAAATCAAACTGTGCTTAAGCTTAATGATGATAATATACTTTAATATTTAAAATACAAATTAATTAATTTTATTACCTCAAATGACATTATATATCTCTTTGCACTTGCATCCGTTGCTTTTCTAAATTGTTAATATTTTAGATTTGTGTATGAAGATAAAATAAAAGCAACAATATGAATGAAAAGACTAACCTTCCAGCAGTAAAATTATGAAAATTATGAGTACCATGAAATAACCTGCAAATCCTATTTACTTCTTGAAGACGATTTTCTGGAATTTTATGAATTAATTATATTATTATTATTATTATTATTATTATTATTATTAAAGATCAGGGAATTAAAATATGTTTTAGTTAATGCCAACCTGGAATGCGATAAGTTTTTACAATGTCCTCTGTAGGATCGGAAAAAGCAAATGTCGGAAGAATATATGAATATATTCTAGCATCACAACTCAATTTGGCATTGAAGTTTTTTGTGGCTCGTTTGAGTCCTAGTATAGTTTTGGAAAAAATTAATTAATATACACAATTAATAATCTTAAAAATTTTTAAATTTTCATTTAACTTGATCTAACCCATAACTCTTATCTGTGGAGGAAGATTGTTATTAATTAATTCAATAACCGACAAAAAATTTTCTATTGGTGGTAACTTCAACGAAATTATCTGACAAGCTGCCGATACTCCTTTATCTGTTCTAGCAGCTCTCTGAAAATGCATTAATTGTGGTTTTTCGTATCGGTCGTGTGCAATCAATCTAGCTTTATACATTGCTGTCAAGATGTCTTCTTCGATGGTCTTAACTCCGTGATTTCTGAAACGAAGATTTTAATTGTTATGCTAAATATGACTTTTTTAATGTTCATATATTTAATCCGTACAAAGGATGAATTATTACTTATGTAAAAGATTATTTTTAAACTATATTTTAAGTTAATTAAGTAATGTAACTTGACCCAAAGGTAGGCAGTTTGGCTGCCATCTTGTGTATATTAAATACCATATAAAGTATGGTATTTAATTGAATTGGTTTTGAACTTATTCTTTTATATTGTAAAATTTAAAAATTATATTTCGCTAACAGAAGTTTTATTTGTTAAAAAACAGAAAAATAATATCCTCTTTTTCTTTTGCTCTAAACAAAGTCTCCGATGTACACATTTTTTACAAATTAAAATTATTAAAACTATTTTAATTAATTATTTCTTTGCAAATTGGAATTAGATTAACTATTTAAAATATAATATAATAAATTACCTTTGCATTCCAAAATATCCTTTTCCACAGTATGAAATCATCATTGCCATCTTCTTTGGTTTACCTTTGAACAATAATTTTATGTCCTTTTCCTCAGATTTCTCATCATTATTTGAAATCTAAAATTGAATGTTAACCAGTTATTTCTTTTTATATTATTATTTATAATAATATTTTAATATACAAGTTTATACTCTGAACTAAAAATTTACGAAAATAAGTTTTATTCTTTTTGTTTGTCTTTCTGAACTAAAATAAAATATACATAATGATTTGGTTTTAATATGTGCATATAGTGTGATCAGTGAAATTCAAATTACATTAATTACACACTAACTTACATTAAAGAATTACATTTTATATTAAATATTATATATATATGCATAATTTAATTAAACAAGAACAGGATGGAGGGATTTCATAAAGACTATGACATTTAAAAAGAATTGTTTGAGTGGCACTGTATTAGAGTACACAGATGCAAAGAAAGCCGTTAACACAAGTAATTTGATAATTCATTTGTTTTTGTTTTTGGTGGACTTGATGCTAAAAAATAAATCATCATCAATTTTTAAGGCGGTGGGTTTTGTTGCAAAATGTTATGGTATTACCAGAAACATAACAAATGTGATATTTATCAAACCTTGGTCCACAGTCTCTTCAGTCTGAAAAGTGTCAGAGATGTCACATGCTTGAAATGAGTGACATTTCAAGGTAAGCACGTAACCGAGCGGTGTCAAAACAGACTCACGTGACACGTTTCGTATGCATCCACCATTCAATGTGATACTCCACAATGGAAACAAGCTTAAGCAATGGTAGCCCAAACGATGCAGAGTTGGTAAGTAGTCCTTTAGTTTTTTGTCTACAGTATCTTTTATATGGGTTGGTGATGAAAAATTCTGCAAATGTCTATCAAATATGTCTCCTCTTTTTTAAAAAAAAAACTGATGAAAAAACACTGCTATACAGCTTTTATAGAACTACTGAAATTTTAAAGCATTAAACAAAGATTATATCAAAAAATTTTACTTGTTCTTCATTTTCACTTTTAAATTTTTTGGCAGGTGAATTTTCGCAATTGTCAGGTAGACTTCTTTTTCCCTCATCATGTTGTTCATCCATGTTTTCATTCATTTATTCCTGTAATATTTTTAGATTTTAAATAAAGGTACTTTTAAATTTCATAATTGGCTCTGTAGTGTATATTAAATTTATGTAAATTAACATATTAGTAATGAGTTCATTTGAATGAAAAAGAATTGATCATTTGAATATCAAAATCAACTAAACCATGGGTACGTTCGTAAAGTCGAACGAGTTAAACGTGTTAGTAACGAATCGTTTGAAAAGTAGTAGTTTCTCTCAGTGCCCATGCTCTGCGGTGATGACATTTCAAATGAAACTCTAACAAAGTTCACAAAGGAAAGAGTTAGTTCACTTCGTTAAGAAAATGGCACCCGACAATATCGATGCTTCTAAATCTACTCGAGTGTTTAAACTGTGAATTAAAAGGTGAAATGATAGAAATAACTGTCCACATGAAGCAATCTAAGAAAAATATTTCAGATAAGAGTGCCCTAGTAACATTCATATCTTTGATTTTAGAAACAGCCATTTAGTTATAAACGAATCATTCGAAAAGTCTAACGAAATAAGAATAACGATGGCGTTATTCTCGTTTAACTCGTTCGACTTTACGAACTTACCCCATATTGAATGATTTTAGAATAATTCAAATTATTCACTTTTCCCTTTTTTACTACATTTTAACCCTTAAAATAACAAAAATTGCCAAATAAGCTATAAAAACCCTGTATGCAACTGAAATTTCACACTAGAAATTATTTTTTCTCATTAAAGGGCAATTTTTGTCCTCATTGGAAAACATCATGTAACACAAGGCCAGTCCTATCACAATTTTAAAAACCAATGGCCAAATAACACAAGTTATTTAGATCGGTTGTTTTCAACGTACCACCGGCCGTCTGCAAGTATGCACCAGACGGTTCTCGGACCGACCGGCCGATCAGTTGGGCATACTTTCGACTACGTAGAGTTACTTCAAAACGCAACTCTATGCTCTTTTAGCCATAAGTAAGAATACTTTCACACATTACATCTCTTACAATAGGTTACCGGACAGACGAAATACTTTGACACACAACCTATTACTATCCAATGTGATGTTTACAGGATACAAACAGGATAGAGCATAACTGGTCTGAAGTTCATCTATAATTTGGTTTAAGTGATCGATAGATCAATAACCATTGATTTAGAGTGTCTTGATTTGTTCCCATGAAGGAAACTGATAATAATTTCAGTTTTTAAGTGTAGCTATTTAAGATATAAAACACTTGGGTAATTATAACATCAGTTTAGCATAAAACATACGAGAAATTGCAAGAATTAAGCTATAAGAACGTATATTAACTATTTGTTTACGAAAACCATTCAAATGAACACACAAATATAACACGAATTGAAAATATTAAAACAAAATTTGTACCTTTAAAACAGAATTAATCAAATAAATAATACTAATTTAACATGCATTTGTTTACTTCTTTGTATTTCGTCAATGCATGCATGAGATACGACCACGTGTGATAACTTCCACAACACGAAACATACAAATTTTTACAGATGTCGAGATTACCGTTATTCGTCATTGTCGCTGCTAACAAGATTATTCTCTGATATATTCTTTGATTTAGTGTTGCCAATCCAACGCTTAAATTAATACTGTAATAAATTTTTCGTTATTTTATTAGATTTTATACCTGTATACGGAAAATATTTTTTAATAATAATTTTAAACATTTCCGTACACTAAAATGAGCTTAGAGATTTTGCACAAAGGATTAAAGAATACAAATACAATGCTAATAATATAACGTCGGGAGGGCCGAGCGTTCAAGATGGCAGCCTACCGTTCTGGGGAACTCGGAATCAAATCTGGACGGGTCGGGCTCCGTCTTTCACTACCCGGCAGCCCTATTCTGGGCTTGGCCAAATCCATAATGGGCTTGCTAATTGAGTCCTTCTTAGTGCCCGCATAGAAGGAAGAGTTAAATGTTACCACAAATCGGGAAAACCCTTTCGTTATCGATTGATGTAGGTTCGATGATTTTGAGCGCCAAGTAAAGTTTCTCTACATTTTCACTACGTTTGTGTGCTAACACCGATATTTTAATCTCTTCTGCTTTAAAATTTCCTTTTACGTAGTTTGAATATTAATTAAAATCTTGTAGTTTCGGCTCATTTTTCCCGAAACTTCGAAACCCAAAAATGCCAAAAATTTCCGAATATTTGAAACAATGCATTATGATTAAGTAACTTTCCCCACTTTTATAAAAAAATTTTAAAAGTTACTTTTATACAGTATACCCCTTATAACACGGATTCCTATAATTACGATTCCTATAAGACGGCGAAAAAATTGCGACGGTATTCGTACAAACCTGGTAAAAAAAACTCCTATAATTCGGTAAAACGTCATCGGGCAGCCGAACTACTTTCCGCCGTCCAGCGCTACGCTACGGAGAATTTAGGCAGGTAAATTGAGTTTACTATCGTCTGTACAGTATTATATATTAATTATATACAGTATAAATTAGGTACTGTATATATAATTATATATTAACTTAATTTATTGTAACTTTATTATAATTATATATATACTTTCCGCCGTCCAGCGCCACGCTACGGAGAGTTTAGGCGAGTAAGTTGTTTACTATCCTCTGTACAGTATGTAAATTAGGTACTGTAAGTCTAATACAGTACTGTAATTTTATACGTTTCTTGTGAAAGAAATATTTCTTATTCAACGGCCATAAAAATTATTTATATTAATGATGTCTCTAAAGTTCAACGAAGTTTTCGCAGAGAAATAACTTATCAGAAATCGCGGCCGCGGTTTCGTGCATTGCTCCGCGACGAAAACAAGCTTGAGCAATGGCAACGTCGAACGGTGCACACTCTATAAGTAATCCTACAATTTTTTGTTTATAGCATAGTTTATACGGTTTATTACCAAAAAAAAAAAAAAAATATACGTATTTTGGAAATGTTGAGTCGAATTAGTCTAGAATCGATTAATTTTATGGAAGAAAACCTATCAAACAGCTGTAGTCCGTAGACTTTACACGTGTCAAGCTGTGATTGGCAAGGACTCGTAAGAAATCGATTCATAAAGAACGGAATGTATCTACCATGTTATAGAGGGGTCGGCTGTATTTTTAAACGTAATACAGTATAGCCTCGATTATCCGACCCACGATTAACCGTCACCTCGGTTAACCGACCGTTCTAGTCGGCAAATTTCAAATGTCCGCTAGTGATGTGGCGCTACAATATTTGGCTATGTCTTGGCTACTTTAATATTACTTTTACGTGTTTTAGCTGGCAACACTGGATCGACCATGAAAGAGAGTCAGTATTTAAACGAGGCTTAATTTTCTAATTTTTAACGATACAACAGCGACGATTATTATTTAAAAAAATTTTTGTTAGGCTTAACATGGATGAAAATTCAACGCAAAGTAGGTTAATAGCGATATACTAATATACTAATTACATGGGATATAATAATATACTACACTAATAATGGATTTTTTCATATTTTTCGGTTATCCGACTTTTCAATTATCCGACCAACCCCAGTCCCCAATTGAGTCGGATAATCGAGGCTCTACTGTATAAAACAATTGTGTGTGGCGCCATCTGTTATGAGATTTTGTTATAAAAAGCTTTTTATATTATCGATTATTATAAAATGGCAAAAGTCTTATTTTTAAGGATAAAAATGAGTTTTGTAAATAATTATAAATGCTAATAACGAGTGAAATCATCACTAATTCTGACCCCACTCAAAATATAACACGTAGCAATCTTCTACCTTTCAACACCAAAATTGAATATCATCAATAACTCTTATGCACAAGCTACCGTGCCAAATTTAATTACTTAATTAGTCTTTACCCATCCTGACATATTAGATGAAATACACTCCAACACACACACACACATACACACACATTTATCCACAGAATACAGTAGACTCCCTATAACGCGAATTCATATAATGCGGATTCGTATATCGCGGCAAAAAATTGCGACCGTATTCGTATAAAAACGCTAAAAAAGACTCGTAAAATGCAATAAAACGTCATCGCCGACTCATGTCGCGACAGTATTGATTGAGTCTAAACCAGTAGTAGACGAGCAACCGAACTACTTACACGCTACGGAGAGTTTAAACAAGTTGAGTTTGCTATCAACTGTACAGTATATAGGCCAACATTAGATACTGTACGTCTAGTACAAAACTGTAATTTTATACATTTCTTGTGAAAAAACATTTCTTATTAAACAATCATTAAAAATTATTTCTATTACAGTAGAGCTTCATTTATCCGAAAGTCAATTAACCGAAAGAATTCCAGTTGGAAAATTTACATTTTCGCTAGTGCTGTGGCGCTGCAATCTTTAGGAAATCTTGAAGTACTCAAATATTTTACGTTTTTGATACTAAATTAAGTTCTGAAGTATAATTTTTTATTGTTTTTATATTTTTCAATACAGTAGAACGTCGATTTTCCGAATCAATTCGGGATTGGGGATGTTCGTATAACTGATATTTCGGATAACCGATTATGTACGAAAAAATATATTAACCTATTCCGTGTTTAAATTTTTTTCCGTTGCGTCGCTTCGCGTTGAATTTTCGTCGATGTTAAGCCTAACGTAAACTTTTTAAAATAATAATCGTGACTATTGTATCGTTAAAAATTATTTCTTTATTTTGTACAAACAAAATAAATATATTGAAAAATATAAAAACAATAAAAAATTATACTTCAGAAGTTAATTTAGTATCAAAAACGTAAAATATTTGAGTAGCCCAAGACATAGCCAAAGATTGAAGCGCCACAGCAATGGCGAAAATTTCAATTTGCCGACTGGAATTCTTTCGGATGATTGACTTTCGGAAAATCGACGCTCTACTGTATATTTATTTTGTTTGTACAAAATAAAGAAATAATTTTTAACGATACAATAGTCACGATTATTATTTTGAAAAGTTTACGTTAGGCTTAACATCGACGAAAATTCAACGCAAAGCGACGCAACGGAAAAAAATTTAAACACGGAATAGGTTAATATATTTTTTCGTACATAATCGGTTATCCGAAAAATAAGTTATCCGAACCACCCCAGTCCCCAATTGATTCGGATGAACAACGCTCTAGTGTAATGATGTCTCCAAAGTTCAACAAATTTTTTGCGGAAAAATAACTTATCAAAAAAAACGCGGCCGCCGTTTGATGCGCTGATCCGCGACGAAAACAAGATTAAGCAATGGCGATGTCGAACAATGCACACTCGGTAAGTAATCCTACAACTTTTTGTTTATAGCATAATTTATACATATTATTACCAAAAAATTATGTGTTTTAAAAATGTTGACTGAAATTAGTCTAGAATCGATCAATTTTTTGTAAGAAAATATTTCAAACAACGGTAGTCTGAAAACTGTACAAGTGCCAAGCTATAATTAACTAATGTACAGTAGATCCCCCTATAAGACTGGTTACTATAATTACGATTCCTATTAGACGGCGAAAAAATTGTAACGGTATCCGTACACAACGGTAAAAAACTATAATTACGTAAGACGTCATCGGTCAGCCGAACTACTTTACCGCTGTCCAGCGCCAAACTACTAACAGTTTAGGCGAGTAAATTCAGTTCAGTTTGATCTGTACATATAATTATATATTAATTATATAAAAAGTAAATACTGTATATATAATAATTGGCTTGTCCGGTTGTTTAAACCCGCCTCTCTCCCGTCAGACCGCATAAGAGCGCTCTGGCACTCCAGATTTCGTCTTTTGCTGTGTGTTTTGTCTTGTCCGGTTGTTTGTACCCATGTAGTTATGATACCTTGTTTACAATTCACTAAAATGTAATTGGGGTTCCATAATACCACCTTCTCCTCTATATTTTTAGTTATTTAGGCGTAATCATAAAAAGAATTATATTATTAAAACATTGTATATCTTCAAAGCATTTTCATCAATTATTATCGGCAAATGTTTAAAAGTATTAAATCTGCGAGATAATAAACTTGTAAGATTTTAAGTTGTATTGAAATGTTAATGCAACTGAAATTTGCTTTCAATATTGTTTTATATTCTAAACAAAGTAAGTTGAAAAAGTTCCAAGGATGAGTGAAAAAATCAAATGTGAAAAGAATTAGAATATAAAAAAAATTATATAATATTATATAAAATAATTATTCTGAGTGTCAACGCTTTCTCCAACGATTTCTTCAATACAGAAAACGTTTAGAAAAATCAGATTTTTTTCAGTCACCTCAAGAAGCCTCAAATCATTTTTCTTTTAAAACTTTCTTTAACTTTGGATTAAGAAAAGTCATTAGGAGCTAGATCTGAGGAACAGGAGGTTGAAGAAGAATAGCATTTCCAACTTTAAAAGAAAAATAGTCTGAGTCAATAGAACTAATACTAGACAAATCAGAGAATTTTGAGATCATTAAAAGAAGTTAATGTTTTAAAATGTTTCTTGAATTAGAGAAAGTGTTGGACTAGTGTATTAAATCTCAAGAAAAATTTATATTAAATAAACTTTTTATATCTTAATAAGTTTTGATTTTCTGATTCATTTTGAATAATATATTAATATACATATTGATATTATTCAATATAATTAATTATATATAC